GAGCTCGGTTGCGGTATCAGAAATGTCGTACTCCAGTAAAGATTTGATTCTTTCGGTCATTTTACTTGTATTTTGATATCTCCTTCTTCTACCTCTTCGTCTCCTTGCAGTAGCTTCGATTTCAGAGTCAAAAGGTGTTAAGTTGTTTAAACCTGAACATTGAGTTTGCATGCAACAAAGAACTAAAAAGAGGAGATCAAAAATACAAGGGGCAATAGCTGAAGCAACAAATCGAAAGCTTAGTAAAAAGGAATCACAAATAATTAGAAAGAAACCGTTAGTCCCCGGCAACGGCGCCAAAATTTGGTAGGCGTGTCGCGTACCTAACAAAAATAAACCTAACGAGACCACTACTATGTAGACGGGCAAGTAAGGATCGAATCCCAAGAGACTAAGGTTCACCTAATTCAATAGACTCAAGTAATCACTAAGTAAGTAACAAATCAATGGTGATGGAATTCTAAGAACTAATAAATAAAGGATTCAATTAATCTAAAGAAGGTGATAAATCAATGAACTAAAGCATCTAAGATCAAGCATTACCACGAATATAATCAATGCATAAATAATTTTACCCCAATAACAATTCAATCGACAAGAGGAAAAGCATTCCCTAATCAATACCAAAGGTCTCTTCCGAGTTACCAATGGCTTCCCAAATCAACTATCAAGCCTATTTCCATGGAATCAAGCAAATAAGGGACATTAAACACAATACTTAACTTTCTAATAATTCAATCATCTACTTCCGTGATTATCTTCAAACCCTTAATTGAAATACCCAAATCCCGTTAATATTCAACTTTCGTTGCAATAAGAACAAGAGGATGATAACAATACCAATTATTCATAATCTAGCATTGGCATAAACACAATCAATCAAGCGGAAATATTATTGGAGAATTTAAAGATTAAATCTAAGCATTAATCATATCCGGGCTTTGCAAGATCCCGGATTGTGAATCTACTCACACATACTAGCAAAACCAATAACAAGATTCAATAGAGAAGACATAATCAATAAGAAATAAATAAATAAAAGAGAAATGAAATAGATGAATACCAAAATTGCTTCAAGCGAAAGAACTCGAATTGTTGATGAACAATAATCAAAGCTAAGAGAAGGATTAAATTGCTTAAAGAGAATAGGGTTCTTAGAGAAAACTAATACTAGAGGATATAATAATGTGTATTCTAATTGTGATTACAAAGGGTATTTATACCCCTAAAAAGATAAAATTACGAAATTAAACAAGTCGGCTTCCGCTAAACAGTGTCCGGTCCAACCGGGCAAGGGATGCCCGATCGGGCGATGAAAGGTGCTGCGTCGCCTCTTCTTCGTATTTCATCTTCCTTCTTGTGCCCGGTCCCACCAGGCAAGCCACGCCCGATCGGGCGCGGAAGGCGGCTTCTTAAATTGAGATGTGAAATTATAACTCTTAAGTGCCCGGTCCCACCGGGCGAGCTATGCCCAACCGGGCACCTAGAGTCTGCAGCGTATACTCCGTATCTAGCTTATCCTTCTTTGCCTTGTCTGACCGGGCAAGCTAGGGTCAACAGGGCATGGGGGAAATCTTCATCTTCACACACTAACCTCTTCTATAAACATCCAAAACACGTCCGATTCGTACAAGAAACTCCGTATGCCTATGAAACTCAATAAAAATACATCGGACACATTAGAGAAGAGATTGTTAGCGAGAAATGGCTCCATAGAGCCTAAAACCATGCAAATACACATTGTAAAACCGGGATAAAACATGGTATAAAATTCATACATCATGTGTGTAAAAAAAAAAAAAAAAAAAAAAAAAAAAAAAAAAAACATACCTTTAAAATCGAATTTTTCTTTGAATGTCACCTTGAATTTGAAAGGAATGGTGTCCTTCCAACAAGTGTATTATTCCGATAGAGGGTTCAGAATTATTACAGAGGTAATTCTTCAGTAAGGTCAAGTGATCGGAATGCCTAGGTGGAGGCCGCTTCCGATCAGTAATATCAAGGTACAATTGATATTACAGCTTAATCTTAACTGAACCCTTCGGGTCGAACCCAATCGAATCTCCGATCCGAGACGTCAAATTAATCCGAAAGGATTTAATAAGTCGACAGAGTTTTACGAATGCAGACGTCGGAAATCGAGCCTAGGGCGTCGATACCGAGCATCGCAAAATCACAATCGACAAGCATGAGCGTAGCCATAGCTAGGCTAGGCTAGCTCATCGCAACCTAGGTGCACCATGTGTGTGCTAGCCGCACCATGATGTGCTAGGTGCCATCGCAGCCTAGGCAGCCCATCGCATGCTAGCATGGGTGCCTAGGTGTGCGTGGTCACCATCGCAAGCCACCACACCCATCGCAGGCCCATGCGCATGCCTAGGCGCACCATGCGTGGCCTAGGATGGCTGGGCGCTGTCGCAGGCCTAGGCGCCCATCGCAAGGCCTGGCACCACGCACAAGCACCATCGCACTACCAGGGGGCATGCATGCGTGTGTGCGTGTGTGCCTCGCAGCCTCGCACAGCAGCCGTACAATGCGTGTGGGCTGGTGCGTGTGCGTGCTATGGCTGGTGGGTGTGCGCATGCATCGCACCAAGCACAAGCAGTGCTAGGCACTGGCTGGTGCGAGTGATGCATGGTGCCAGTGCGTGAGGGCTGGCATTGCGTAGCGTAGGCATTGTGTGAGAGAGAGATGCGTGGTGTGCGAATGCGGTGCGTGGCAAGTGGCCAGCATGCGTGGCTCGCTAGCAGCACGCATGTTGGGCCATGCGAGCAGTGACGATGCGAGGAGTGCTAGCAGCAGCAGCAGCACGCACCAGCGCCAGCACGCACCAGCAGCACCAGCGCTAGCACGCACCAGCAAGCATCAGCGATGCTTCTGGGCTAGTGCTAGCATGCTGGGCTAGCTGGCACAGCCAGCTGGCACGCTAGCTGGCAGCTGGGCAGCTTGCATGGGTGAGGCGGTTTTGAGGAGAGTGGGGACCAAGGCTTTGGGAAAGCCTTGGGGAGCAAGGCATTCGTCCCCCCACCTCTCCATGGTCCTCACCTAACACTCTCTCCCTCCTTGACACTTGTCGAATTGTGATTGCATTTGTTTATTAATTTATTTTAGAAATAAATTAATTAGCAAAATTCATTCTCCCACATTGGTGGAGGGTGAAATATCAAGGGAGCATTTCCCTATAAATACCAAGCTTTGTATTGGGATTTGTCATAACCTTGAGTGGAAAAGTAAAGGTAACTCCATTGTTGAGTAAGCCTTGAAATTCGTAAAACTCTAAGTTTGTTTTGTCCGGGCCTCGACTAACCTTCGAGGCTTAGGACTCTCGGGTCGGGTCGAGGGTACGATCCGTCAGAGATCTCGTGTTTTCGGGATTTTGAAGTAAGAGCTCTATAGGAGCGAAGCACGCGTCAAAGGTATAATTCTTGTCCTTAATCTTATTTTATTAAGTTTATTATGCTTGTTTAATTGCTTTAATTAAGGGGCGGGTCTTGGTGGGTTTCCTTCCGCGTAGTGTCGGGTCACTACGAAACCCTACAAAATTTGGTTTAATATGGCCAAATTCGATCATGAAACCTCTAGATCTAGAGGTTTCATGGTTGAATTTGACTTGAATAACCATTACTCTCGGGAGAAGTACGACACCTCCATGCGACGACGGCGAGAAAAACGATTGAATTGGCGTCGTGACCAAGGCCAACCCCTCGCCGGTGACAAAGAAAACGAGAAAGAAAATAGAAGAGAGAAAGGGAAGGAAAAGAGGAAAGAGAAGAGCAACGAGACGAAGAAGAAAAGGAGCAGCAAAAGAGAAGGAGAAGAGAAAAGAAGGATAGGAACAGAGAACGAAAGAGAAAGAGGAGAAGAGGAGAGAGAAAGAGCAGGAGAAGAGGAGAGAAGAAAGAGAGGCGCCTATAGGAAAAAGAAGGGGAACCGGGTTTTGAGTAGGGTTTGGTAAAAGGCTTTTATTTTATTTTTTTAATTATATTCCGACGGACTATAAATCCGTCGGAATATGTAAATTCCGATAATAAATACCGTCGAAAAGCACATATATTCCGACGGATTTTATTTCCGTTGTAAATTTCGGACGGAATTTCTGACGGATTTGTTGAATTCGTCGGAAATATCCGACAGAACATAAATCCGTCGGAAATTATGCTTTTTCGGACAGAATTTCGTGTCCGTCGGAACAAGTCCGTCGGAATTTGCCTGATTTCTAGTGGTGTTTTTTAATTAATTCCAAGGTAGTATCATGATAGGTATTGGTTGAAATTGTTGATTGGATTGATGTTGGTGATTGATTTATGAAGTATGAATTATTTGTGGTGAATTGATGATTGGAATTAATTATGTTGGCATGTTGAATATGAACCACACTTTTATTATTGGCATGATTGAGAGCATGTTTAATTCAACTTAATGTTTAATTTGGTTTGGAATATAAAAAGGGATTTTATTATGGTTCATATAATTTTTATTGATGCTTTAAGGATGGAAATTGAGCTATTAAGTGTCTTAGTACACAAGTGTAAATGTACTAAGGTGCCTAAGTGCACTTAAGGTGTTATAAACACCGAGTGATAAGATTTACAATGCTTTATGCGCTTAAGGTGTTATTTAACGCCGAGGTAGTTTAAAAAGGGTTCAACATTAAATTTATGTGGTCACACTAGTAGAAAATATGAAATGCGTACCGGTTCAAAACCCTCCTTAGCTTTCGCACCGGTTTTGAACCGGTTTAGATTTGAGGGATGTCGTTAAGTGACATTATTCGCACCGGTTCAAAACCGGTGGTAATAATCCTTAACAACACTGATTAACCGATGCGCATAAGGGTTATTAGCACCGGTTAACCGGTAAGTGAATATCAAAAAAAAAAAAAATTACTATTCCCAACAATTGGCACAGGTTAACCGGTGCCCATAGTACCTGAAGAAAATATAAAAATTAATTTTTTTTTTTTTTTTTGCTTTTTTCCTCTTAAAATGGTCAGCAAACAATATATATATGAAAACTAATTTATTTTCATTAATAACTAGGAAATATTTACGCTTTTCATCCAAAAGAAAATAAAATAAAAGGACAACAAAAATTACAACAACCTTTTTTTCGAGGGGAAAAATTACAATAACTTAATTTCAATAAGAGTAGCAGCATTAAACAGCAGCATATCAACTATCTAGCAAAGCAGTAGCATCGGCAGCAAAAACGTCATACAAAGCACGTTGAACCATCCAACACTGATAAATTATGGTAAATATGTTAGAAAATAATACGTAATATACACTATAAGCTAGAATGCCCAACCATACAGAAGTCAACATGAGCATTTGTTTGTGCAAAGACAACAGAGATAAATAATGTAGTATAAAAAAAGGGGAGTAAAAAAGAGAGCATGGTAAGTAATAATAGGTTTAGTTTGATACCTTATTAAACATCTCACGAGTTATACACACTCAGAAATACATGTTCTAGCCTTCACATAACTATCTGCAATTAGAAAAAAATAAATTAAAAAAAAAAAACAAAAACTATCTGAAATCGGAGCAAACAAAATAAGTTAACCATCTTTAAAAAAAACACGAACATGTATCTAATTGAAATTATCAATGGATTAGCTCGCATTTAATAATGGTGAAAGTGTGGAACTAGTCCTGGCAAGCCCTCCTCTGTCCTACCAAGTCAGAGAGCTCAGAAACCAGATATTGACTCCTTTAACCTAAACTCGGCAGGGTAGCAACAGTTACAGCCTTGCCAGGCCACCTGCAACAGCAGCCTTGGCAAGGCAGGGCTGCAGCAGCCAAAAATAACCCAACCTCACCCCACCACAAATTGAAAATGCAAGCCAAAAATATATAACAAAAGTATTAAGCAGTCATGCCAGCTAGCTAGAGGAGAATGGCATCACCCTTAGAGGCATTCAAGCAATCAACCAATTCATTCAAGCACACAACATGAATAATCAATTGTATTCGTAGAAGTTAGAAGCATCCAAGCAATCAACCAATTAATTCACATATGTATAATTACTTGAATTAAAGCAAGACAAAATAATTTGAATGGAAAAGGTAAAGATAGTGTGAAGGAAATTGGTTTACAAGAGCATGTAGCACTTGATATAAAGTGAATGGAGGAAGAGGATCTTCGTGGACGACCACAAGAATAGATTCTTGGTTCATTCACTCAACCCCATCTATTAATGCTTAGGCATTGGTTTTGTTGTATTTTATCTTTGCCTCTTCATGATGATTATTATCCTGGACTAACAAGGCCAATAAAAATAACATGCAAAGAAACTTACACTTAATTTAGGCTATGAACAATAACCCCATGTTCCAAGTCATTCAAAACACTACCAATTGAAAGACTAGCATACATATGATTCAGTGACTCTAAACTCATTATAGTGATTCTGGTCACAACAAATCAATAGTATTTTTTTTTATTCTTTTATAATATACAACTTATCCTCACGCACGCAAGCACATGCAAATCAAACAACAACAACAACAAAACAGCTGGAACACTAGAATATACAAAAGTAAAGAAAAAAAAATTTCAACATACAACTTATGCACACGCGCACACACAAACGCATATGAAATAACAACAATCAGCAGAAACACATAGATACAATGTTTCCAATTTATTCCCAACAAAACTATAAAATACTTAAAATGCAATTGCTTACAAGTATAGACCAAGCTGTTGTGCCATATCAGAGAAAAGTTGTTGATCTTCCCGTCTAAAATGACGCTAAATTATCATCTCCTGCTCTCCTCCTTTCTGAAATCCTTCCATCTTATGTATGATTAATACATAATTAAAGCACAAAAAATTCATTACTGAACTCCACATCAAGACTGTAGTCAGCATATTTAAAACAAGACTCTAGCCAGCATATTCAAATCAGATTTCATGATAACAAACACCAAAAATAGGAAAAATTAACACATTCATAAGCACAAACAAAGAGCCCCCACTAATCACTGAACTAAAATAAAACAACTAATTAAATAGATCTCTAATTCAAATCGGTCACAAAACTAATTCAATAAAAAAAACCACAAAACTGGTCACGACATATCTTCATATATCTAAAGAGAATAAGCAATTCTACCAACTATTTTCACAAATAAACACATAATTATCAAAGTAACACTATAAAAACACAAAATTAACAAGAATTACAAACACCAAGATCAATCATTTCCATCAATCAACTTCAAGATTATCAAAAATGATATGAATAACAAAGAAAATTATATGCATGCTTCAGAAATTGGCCGATAAAAAATGAAATGAAAACCAAGATTAGAGTAATAAATCGTAATATCTTAGTAAACGACATAAATTGATCGAAATTACAAAAATTAAAAAATCGATAAGTACTTTAATTAGGAGAGTAACATAGAGTGAAAGATCGAGCAAGATGAAGAAACCTTAAGAAAGAAGAAGTGTAGCCTGCTGATATTAGTTTGCCTCTTTGTGTTCAACAACATCAATTTAATCACCACCAACTCCAGCCTCCATTTATTGCAGCATCAGCGTAATTCGAAACCCTAGAAATTAGAGAGAGGTGATTGGATATGAGATTGAGATTTAGAGGTATAACAATGGCGATAAACCCTAGAAAACGATTGATAGGGTAAAAGGAGGCTAGAGAAGAGAGCATGAAAAGAAAAGGGGAGAGAGAATCTGTGAGCAGCGGTTGTTACAGCTACGGCTGCGGCTGCGGCTGCGGCTGAGGGTTTGGTTAAGGAAAGAGAGGAGAGAGAATAGAGAGAATGGAAATGAAAAATGAAAGGGAAAGAGAATGAATAAGGGAAGAAGAGTTCGCACTGATTAAAACCGGTGCTATTAACTTATGAGAGCACCGATTCAAACCGATCCGATGGTCTTTTTATTTTATATGATCTTAGCGTGCGTTTTTTGCACAGGTTTTTGGAAACCGTAGCGCATTTGTCGGTGCTCATTTATGTATTTCTACTAGTGTCATTAATTATTCAAGAATTAAAATTGTGCGTTTGATTACTTGAATGATTTATTATGATTGATTGCATTGTGGTTTGAGAGTCATCACTAAATCTAAAAATATGTAAATCATGTAAAGTGAAAAAGATTACGCACCAAAACTCTTGGAACGTATATACCTTGAGTATGAACATATGGGAGGGGGGAGTTCTGCGACTTTATATTTGACCATAACTTCCACTTGGAGTACCAGACGTCGTATTTTCCTTTCTTTATTTTATGCGCAGGACGTTAAGTCACTTTCATGTGGCATTTGCCTACCCGCTTAGCTCCCGGTGTCATTTACCTCAATTTATTTGGGGCAGAGATTTGATGGGAAACCCGCTCGATGCGTAATCAAATTAAATAAGCAATTTAATTAGCTATTTATTGGTTGGTTGTGTTGTATGCTAGTAAACAGGTGCAACCAGGTAAGTTGTGTGTTGAAAGGATGAAAGCATGTTAGTGTGTAATGTTTACGCTTATGTACTCAGCATTGTTGATTGTGTGTGTTTGTTTGACCTTGTCTTTATCTTGGCCCTACGATGAACCATTTCTAATGGCGAGTAGTGGGAACAAAGTAAAGAGAAGCTTTTTAGGTGATGAAGCATAGTCATGATGGGCATGAGTGAAGAGAGAACCATGCTTCATTTTTAGAAGAATATGATGTGGTTTATTGTTTTGATTATCATATATTTTGGTTGTGAGACTAACACAAAGGTTTTAAAAATTCATTTTGGGTTGATAAGGGTCTACGATGGTTCCAAGTTGTAGTATGACTTTGTTTGACTTTTGTTTGACTTTACTTTCGTTTGGTTTGACTTTTTAAGTTAATTTGTTTTAAATAATTTTTGAAGTGAGTCTTCCGCGGTGAGTCTTTGATGATTGCCTTAACCGTTTTCACTGTGGCGGTAATGTCTTAAAATTTTCTAATTCGTATTTTAAAAAGAGTAAAACAGATATTTTAAAGGAAAAGAATTTTCATGCATATGGTGTTACAAAGTGGTATCTGGGAGCTTTGATTAAGATTTTTATTACCACTAAAGCCAAAAACGTGTTTTAAAGTATTTTGTTTTAAACTTCGCCAAGTGTTTATTTAATCATGTAATTTTAAAAGTGAGTTATTTTATATTTATTTTAAAAAAAAGGACCGAAATTTTTTTAAAAAAACGGGGTCCGAAATTTTTTTTTTTAATTTCGGGAGAAATCCGAATTTTTTTTTTTAAATTGAGAACATCCGAATTTTTTTAAGGTGTCTGACATTTTTTTTATTTTTGGAATATTCAAAAAAAAAAAATTAATTGGGGGGTTCAAAATTTTTTTTTATGGCCGAATATTTTGGCCTTTTTCGGAATTTATCTTTGAAAATTATTTTTAGAGAGGAGTCAAAAGTATTTTTAGTTTGTTCATTTTGCTGGAAGGCGAAGGATTAAGGTAAGGTTTTTTTTTTTGTTAAAAGCATGTATGTGAGCTTGGGTAGAAAGAATTTGGGCGTATAAGTTAGAAATAATCATGTTCTTGTGTGCATTAATATTTAGGTTGTGGTGTTTGATCATGTGAATTGATTGATTGGAAGCATGTATTATGTGACTAGAAATAAGTAAAATTGTTAGATTGAACATTGAACCTAAATTCATGCAAGAACTTTGTATTTTATTTTCTTTGGGAATGGAATTCTTTTCTAAGTCTTTTCCTTTACAGGATGTTGATCCTTCCTAGAAAACACTCTCAAATTGGTACTCTAATTAAGAAAGAATATAATATGAATATCCTTTCTGCTATGTCAAGAAAATTCGTTTTTACTGTTCCCATTTGAGAGATGTATGTCCTAGGAAACAAGCATTATGACCTTCCTGATCGTGTTTCAACTTTGATAATCCATTGTCTTCCTGACGAACCACCATAACTTGCTGCAAAAGCAAAGTTTTCTGGTTTTAATTACTTGAGGACATCCCAAATTACTCCAAATACAAAGATTATTATGGACAGTGGTACCATGACTACAGATACTTAATTTCTTATCTCGTTCGAGTAAAAAAGTATCACTGCGAGCGTTTACATATATATTCCATACTGAAATTATTACTAAGATAACCCAGCAGGGAATAATTCCCCTTCCACTAGCAATCAATCAGGAAATTCTTCTCCACCACAGGGTAATCAAGCAGGAGCGAATGGAGGGCAAAAGGAAGAGAGCTAATGAATGAGAGTACCCATATTGTTGATAGTTCCAATTCCAAATCCAAATCCACCCCCAACTCCAATTATAATTGACATTTCATCTGACGATGAGGAAGATGAAAAGTTCATACAAGTAGAGCAAAATCCAGAGAGACCTGAACCAATGCAGGAGACCATGAATTCGATCCTGGAAGCTACAAACAGTTGAAGGAAAAGAAGAACAAGGTTCGAAAGGACAAGATTTTTGTAGATTCATTTCCTTTAGGATTTTAGTTTCATTTCCGCAATTTTACTTATTTCCTTTGTCAGTAAAGTAATAAGTGGCATAGCCACAGTGAGTCAATACGAACACATTTCATTTCATCTTTCTATTCATTTTCTTACTCGGCAATAAAAAATTTATTCATTTACGTGCCAAATAATTCATTTCTTACTCCATTAAGCCATTTCTTACTCAAATATTCCAATAGTTCATTTCTAAACTCTGGGAAATCATGGGAATTATTTTTATTTATTGATGTGATGTTTTATTAAATGTATGGTTGGTTAGCAATCAAAATTTGGTTGATCAAGCTACAATTTTGGGAATTGTAATTTTGCAATCTCAATTTGTTAGCTTAAAAATTGAATGTGTGTGTATAAAAGGTATAAGTTAGTTAGATGGGCGTCTAACTTGAGAGCTAACCATGACCATAATTATTAAAGACCCCTTATTTTAATTCAGGCGAAGAAAGATGGCAGGAGAAAGTGGGAGCAATAATAATGAAGGGAATGAGCTGAGTGAGGTTATGGACTATATTTCAGGAGAAGGTTAGGGACAAGTTTTACCTTACCTTCCTACAGAAACAGAAAGCTGAGGAATTTTCCAAACTAGCAACGGGAGATATGTCAGTCATTGAGTATTATATTAAGTTTATTGAGCTGTCAGGGTTTGCCAACGAGTCTGCTGCTACAGAAAAGGCAAAGGGTAGGAAATCTGAGAGTGGATTGACCACAGATCTGCAGCTAAAGTTGTATGGACAAGTGTTCGAATCATTGGATGGTGTTTAAGGGAGGTCTGCACACCGTTATGCGTTGGAGTTGAAGAAAAAGAAAGAGTTAGTTGTGGTGGCAGGGAAGGAAAAGAGAAAAGAGATGGGGCAAAACTCTGGAAACCTTCAAGGTAACCAGAACAACTTCAAGAAGCAGAAGTACAACCATAACAACAACTTCAACAACAACAATAACTTCCAAACTAACAATCGCCAAGGTGGGCGAAACTTTAATAAAGGTGCTAAGAACTCTAACCAAGAAAATAACAAAGGACCAAGGCATTATTATTGCAAGAGGATTGGTAGAGACTACAATGGTAACTTGGTTACTTGTCTTGCTTGCAACAAGTTGGGACACAGGGAGTACGAGTGTTTCTCTAAAGATTCTAACCGAAGCAAGCAGGGAAATAATCAAGGAGGGGTTCAAAGGAATTTTCAAGGGAACAACAACTATTTAGGGAACGAAGGGGCACAACAAAATGGGGTGAAAGGCAACAATATGGAATAATCAGGTGAAGAGTGGAGCTCCAAGAAAACTAAATGTGATCAGTAGGTACGAAGCTGATACTACAAAGGATGTCATTACTAGTACTTTTTCTATTAACACTATTCTTGTTAAAGTTTTGTTTGATTTTGGTGCAACTTTTTCTTTCATTTCAAATGCCATTGTTTCAAAGTTATCACACTGTCTGAAAACCGTAGATGACATAGATGTAACCATAGTTATTCCTAAGGGAGGGTATTATAATGTACCAAAACTTTTTAGGATGTGCACCTAGAAATCAAGGAAAGGTACTTTTGTTTGACCTCATCGAGTTTGGGTTAAGTGATTTCGATGTCATTTTGGGAATGGATTGGTTGAGCAAGTATAGTGTAGAGATTCGTTGTTGATCGCATAAAGTACAGATATGTACAGTTGAGGGTGAGTTGGTGACATATTAGAAGCATGGTGAAACAAAGTGCCCAAGGATCATTTCTATGATGAAGTTGGCTAAGTATATTAAGAAGGGGCATCCAATATATTTTTATAGTGTGAGAAATTTAGAACATGAAGAGGCAGCTAAGCCTGAGGACATAGAAGTGGTGAACGAGTTTCTGGATGTGTTCCCAGAAGAGATTCCAAGAATGCCACCTAAGAGAGCAATCGATTTCACAATAGAGTTGGTCCCAAGGACAGCACCGATCTCCAAGGCACCATATCAAATGACACCTGCAGAAATGAGTGAATTAAAGGAGTAACTGTTGGATTTGTTAGAAAAGGGGTACATTAGACCAAGTGCTTCGCCTTGGGGAGCTCCAGTGTTGTTTGTTAAGAAAAAGGATGGGAGTATGAGTTTATGTATTGATTATAGGGAGTTCAATAAGGTCACCATAAAGAACAAGTATCCATTACCAAGGATTGATCACCTATTTGACCAGTTGAGGGGCGTATCTGTATTTTCCAAAATTGACTTAAGGTCTGGGTACCATCAGTTGAGGATCGCAGACGAAGATATTCCCAAGATTGCATTTAGAATAAGGTACAGGCATTATGAGTTCACAATAATTCCATTTTGGTTGACGAATGCTCCAGCAATATTCATGGACTTGATGAATAGGGTGGTCCATCCATTTATGGACAAGTTTGTCGTGGTGTTCATAGATGATATACTGGTTTATTTAGAGAATAAGGAGAAACATGTAGAACATTTGA